ATCTATATAAAAATTTAAAATTTGTAAAAAATTTCAATGTAATTCAAATAGTTTCGAATATCTGTAAAATAACTTAAAATGTATTAGTAAATAAAACAAAAAAACAAAAAAGTTTTATTTAAATGTTTAAATTCCTGAATTCCGATTCCCTCAAATTAAGCTAAAATAAAGAAAGATTATTAGAAAATATTAAAAAAAATAAAAACATTTTATAACTCTTCTTCAGTATCTTGATTTTCATTAAATAAATCTAAATTTAATATAAAAAATATTTGTGAATAACATTAAATTGTAATAAAAAATTGCGAAAATATTCGAAAATAAGCAAAAATATGTAAATAAAATTAAAATTTTAAGAATTATAGAAATAATCTTTAAAATAGTGCAAAATATAATAATATAATAATTAAATTTTAATGATCATACCTTCTCTTAGCCTTTTACGTGTCTAATATTTTTTATTTTAAATTTTTTTTTTTTTAACCTTAGGCAGTTACGCTAGTACTTTATTAAGATTCTTGAAACTATATATTTATACAATTATATAGAATTTCCCAATATCTAAGTTTAGCATCACTCGGCCACCCTAATAGTACCTAAGTGCAACCTGCCGCACTATCTTAGTTAAAGATAGACTGCTCGTCTAACTACTTAAAGCCATACCAGAAGGGTCTTCCCCCTTCTGTGACAAGCATGTTTATTGTCTTCGTAGCTTCTTTCTTTATTTTTCGATCCGTTTTTCCTTCTCTTTTAATTATTAAGCAAGAGGATTCCATAATCCTTGCCTAATGAACAACAAAAAATAAGGAAGAAAAACTAAAAGGAAGATAAAAAAAAAAGAGGTGAACTAACTACAAAACCTAAACGTAAACCAAAAACAAAGAAAAAAGAAAAAGATAAAAAAAAAGAAACAAAAAAAAAACAAAAAAAAAAACATGAAGGCACTATTTTTGCCTGTGCTAGGCTTTAAAAATTTTATATAATACTAAATAAAGAATACTCCACATTTACTTTATCTCCGTATTATAATATATTCTATTTGTCACGTGGGGAGAATGGTCGAAGTTTTTATTTTCCTCTTAAGTTTGACATATGTCATCCATCGTAGGTCCGGTACTCGTCTCGTGGTTTTCTCATAACTAACGTTCCCAATTTGGAAAGGTAAACAATGTTGATCTTTTGGAGGGGGTACGCCAGATTTCCCACTTTTTGGTAAAAATTTTGAGAAATAAATCCGATAGTGAGGGCAGAAAGGAGAACCAATTTGAGAAGGAGTTGTAAGAGTTACGCTATATAGAATATTATATTAAGCCAAGTAACTATTTAGGCCTAGGGCTTTATAGCACTTGACAAAACTCCAGAGCTTGTCTACTACTTCTTTGCTTGATAGTACTTGTATTTTACCAAGGGACTTCGCTTACAAGGGTTCGAATCTTTTTCAGCTCTTTTCAGTTACAACCAAACATGCAGTGAATAGCCTTCCTAGTTAACCTAAAGTAGAGTTTTATTATATTTAATATAATAACTATATAGTTTTCGTAGGTCTGTCTTTTTGAAAAAGTTGGTGTGAGGGATTGTCGGAAAGAGTTCTATTTTGTTTATTTCTTAAACTATTTAGTAGGCAAATTTACTTATTAAAATTTTTTTTAACCAATTTTTGTACAATTGTTCTAAATTTTATTAAGATACACTTCATATTTTCTAAGTTAAAATAAAAGTACACTACATGCTAGATGTTATGTAATTCTTATTTTGAGAAATTTTCTTAACACTACTTTTAAGGCCAACTAAATATGATTGACCATACTATAGTCTTTACAATTATAAAAGATCTTCATGATTATCATGTGAAAGTACCTTTCATAATATAATATTAAAGATTCTTCACAACTAACTTCACAAAACTGATTTTGGGTGCAATATAAAGAAAATAATATGACTCAAAAAATTTAAGTAAAATGACACATTTTACAGCCATTGTGTGAACCTATGCCCTTTGTTTAAATCATTTTGAGTATGCTACACTGCGACTATCAAGTGTAACATGTGGTTCGAGCTTTTGGAAGTCAGCATAGCTGGTTGTAATAAATATCTCCATGAAAAAATTTTTTTTTATATTTTACTTCATCCAATTATTTTAGCGGGCAAATTTGCCCGCTAAACCGGACGGTTTAAGTAATAATGCAGATCATGTGATTGGACGAACAAAACATTTTTGATGTTTTAATATAGAATGCATAACTTTTTGTACAACTGTGCACTAAGTTCCGCTTCGCTCCGGACAATAAACGTATTTACTATACTTAATTGATACTTGAGCAATCCATTAATGGGCTGGAGCTGAGGAAAGCGAGATGAAAGCCTTTCAAATGCTACAGTGCTACTATACTGAATTTTCAAAAATGTCCGACTCCCGCTTCACCCCAGACCCAAATTTCAGGTTCAATAACCAGAATTGAGCCTAATTTAGGATCAAAGTTCGGATACCTGATTCTTGGTTTAAAATAGCTGACTTTTAATAGATATATAAACTGACTTTTAATAAAAAATAGGTTGTCAGTTAGCAAGTAAAAATTACTTTGTATCGAATATCATAAATATTAATAAGTAATTTATCAATTAGAAAATAAGAATTATTCTGTATCATCATAAATATGTCATCGTATCATAAGCAAGTATTTTGAATAAATAAAAGAAGGTTTTTGGTTACATTCTTTTTTTATTTGGGTTAAAATGCAAAAAAAAAGAACTTATTCAGCAACAAATAGCTATAAGAAATGAATCGAGAAAGAAACGAAAAAGTCCAATAACTGAAGAACAACAGTTAGGTTATCGAAAAAGTGAATCAAAAAGAGGTAAGCTCGTCGTAAACTAATAATAAAGCGAAAGAGAATATAAATCAAGATGAACAAGCAAATATTTTAGAAAATGAAAACATCACTTGCCTGTCAACTTAATGATGATGATAGTGAAGCTGTTGCAAATCTTAGACATAATTATTGTTCTACTTGTAAGGAATTTTTTCTTTCAATCATATTAGATCATAAAAAAATACCTGAGGTTTCGTTTAGTAAGTTGACTTCCGGCGTAATTTTAAATCGGCCGGAAATTTTAATATTTGGGCATCTGATAAAAAATTGGCTGATTTCGGTGATGAGCGATTATCGTTATGTGTATATCTTTGCGATTAGATTTCGATAATGATTGACATACATAATATAAATAGTGGCTATATAATGTACGTATAACTATTTTTATCTTTGCTAAATGCCATTTTCAAAGCATATTCGTTAGACAGTCATTAAAAACATTTGGAAGGCTTGGCAATTGCCAGACATCTAGGTGTTAGCAGGTCTTCCGTAAGTTAAATTTTCAAATATTTTCGAAGATATGGATGTGTTGAAAGCTTCCAGAAGACCCGAATCACGAACTTATCGAATCGATGTTCAAAAATTTATGAGAACAGCTATAAATATATTGCAAGAGGTTCTAAATTTCGTTTACCGAAAACAAGAACAGGTTACATCACCCGAAAATTTTGAGCCCTGAATAATAATAACCATTTATGAAACTTAAATGCTATTTTTTATACGTAAAGATGTTGCCTGGTTAAAAATGTGATCTATTCAATAGAACTAGCTAGTTTAACTAGCTAGTCAGTACTTTAACAACCATGGTTTAGTATAAATTTTGATCACTTGGTCAGACTACTGGTCAGACTACTTAACATCCCTATTTATAAGTAATAGAAATAAGATTTAGAGCTTTAGCCCACAAGCAATGCAGTTTTTTTAGTATTTTATCGAATGCCGTTATCACCCTACGTTTAGTTCGTTAATATTCGGATGTTGCATAATAAGGTTACTTGAGCGAGTTACTTGAGCGATCTTTTTTTGAATACTCAATTAATTGTAGCCTACGATGTTTGTAAATTGAAGTGATAAACTTACGTATTATTTTTTTACTAATAAAAATATATTAATTACTATTACGAAACAAACACATATGACCCTCTTATTTGATTTTGTTGGTTGATAGTCACGTTTTTATCTACATATTATCTACGTCAACATATTATCTACATAAATTATATAGCCAATCAATAAAAGTCTTTATGATGATCAACACATGTTGACCTAATGTTGACCCCTTTTTTTAGGGAAACTCGTGATTGGTAATTAGATTTGGAAACAATACACGCAATTTTATTATTTATCAAAAACAATACGTCAATACATAGACGTATTAATAAAAAAAAAACATACGTATAAGAATTTGTTTTCGAAAATTTTAACGTTAATCATTTTTTCCCTTATATTTTTGAATCCAATTACAATTAAAAACATTAATTTCCCCAAACGAACCAAAAGCGATGCCGATTTTTTTATATTCGTTTTCTTTAAAATAGATTTTTTTCGTAAGCTTTTTGAATTCACTGCTTAAGGTCTACTTTACCGATTAGAAGGTATTGTTATGCTTTTTCCTTAAGCAGTCAAAAGGCTGAGCAGTTAAAATGGCGACTTATTTAATGCAGCTCCTTAACTTAATTATACAATGTGCCAAACTCTAGGCCTTATGAGTACTTCTTTAGATACTAGTTAATATTCCAAGTTATTGGTCTATTCTGTAATTGGACAATGTTAATCATGATATCTATTGCTACGTCCTATTTAGTTTCTATTTAGGATACAACTTTAGGTTGTTATAAACCTAGTCATAGGATACACCGCTACGTGGTGGCTAGGACGAGTAAGCTAACTGTTTAGCTGAAACTAAGTATCCTTCTAGGTGCGTATTTTATTATTTATTAGTTTTGTATTTATTATTAATAATTTCAAATAATTTCGCATTTTAGTTTTTTTTTTGTTCGCCTAATAGATACTGGAAAATTTAAGTTTTCATCGTTTGATATTTTTGTAGAAGAAATTTAAGTTTCATCGTCTTGATGTTGTTATCGAAGAAATTTTAAGTTTTCATCGTTTTGGTGTCCTCGTCGAAAAAATTTTGTTTTTGTCGTTTTGGTGTTTGTCAAAGAAATTTTAAGTTTTCGTTGTTTTGGTGTCGCTATTGAAAAGATTTCAGATTTTGATATATAGAAATCAGAGCTGAGTTTCTCGAATTTACTGTATTAAGTTTTGCAGCTTCAAATCTGTTGTTACAAAGTATTAATTGTTAATTACACTTTTTCAGTTTAGTTTCTTTTTTTTTTGAAACCTGTGAAATAGATAACAGGAAGTAACATACCTGATTCAAACTGTGAGGATTATGAAATAATGTTTATATGCTACACACTAAGTATGGAATTAAGCTTAGAACGGGTACGTTTCCTTCTGTTAAAATAGTTTACACTATAAATTTTTTTTGAAAATTTTCGGTTACTAAGTTTAAAATATTGTTAATATTATATTTAATTTATTATATATTTCTTTCATTCATTTTTTATTGATTATTCGAACTTTACAATTGCATATTTTACGAATTTATTGTAATTTGTATAAAATTCATATCTGATATTAATCAAAATTGTATAAAGATCAGATGTATTTATTAATAAAATATTATTAAAGCTATTTAAAATATGAGTTATATCATAAATTATTTGTAAGCTATTAAGTATCGAATTAAGATATTTACGATAGTCATAGTTGTATCACGAGATTTTTTTATTTTACCAAATTTTCAAAGCGTAGAGGTTTTTGAACTTCGTATATTAGCCGTGCATAGGATAAATTTTTGCTCTCTAAACATTCGTGGGTACAAATTATGAAGGGTCTACAAAAGGACATTCGAATCCGATAAATTTTGGGATCTATATTAAACAAATATTTATAATGTATAGTACTGTAAAATCGGAAACTTCGCATATAAGCAAACTTATGAAAAAAAAAACTAGTATCGGCACCTACTTTACTAATTGAATAATTTTGTAACAAACGCCTCTATAGGAATCAAGTTGCATCAAGCCGTAGTGAGTAGGTCTAGAGTTGCATCAAAAGGCTGTATAAATATAGACTTAGTTTACCAAGTTAAACTATTATTATTAAAATTTTTTTTTTTTTTACAATACTAGACCATTTCGCTAGTACAAGTTATGATTATAATTCCGTTAGTACATTCCATTTTATTATAATAAAAATGGAGTGAGATTATAATCATATACTAGTGGTAAAATAATTTTTTTATATGTTGCTGTTTAAAACAACGATCTCTCCTGTAGAGTTAATACCTGGATCCGGATTTAATCATATATATCCGGATTTAATTATAATATTATTGTCAGTGTTAATATATCTTTTTATCAGGCAAAAGATACGGCGTTTCTTAGAACACTGGAGCCTCCCGCTAGCCGTAACAAATTGTCGTCCTGGTAATTTGTAACAAGGCTGGATAAGTCAAAGGTATTCCTGGTACGTGTGGTGATGATTATGGATTTTATTTATTATTTATTTGTTTTTTTTATCTTATGCTTCTAAATGAGATCATATGCTAAAGGAACAATATCGGCAATGTATAAAAATTCTCTCGAGATTTCAAAGTATCTATATTTTCTTGGATCAATCATTATGCAGCACCCTACTTTCAACACACTAGCATAACCACTCTAAAAAAATTTCACTACTATTTCTCCAGCCAATCATATTTCAAGATCCGGTGTAATATGAAAAAACGTAAAAAATCAAAACAAACAAAAAACATCGGGCATAACTCAACATTTTTACCTATTAACCTGCTTTCTGCGCATTAACAAAAAGTTTTTCTTGTGAAATTTTGATGTTACAAAGGTTCTTTATGACCTAATTTCATAGCAAATCCTAACCTAATTTAACTGCGAAATTTTTTAAATAAGGTCTTAACTACTTTCTGTGCCAGTCTATGTTGATCACAAACAACAAAATTAAAAAAGGTTTCTATCTCAAAATTTTGCCTATGAAACAGCTTTTCATGATATAATAAAAAATTTTCTTTCATAATTTTAGTATTAGGTTTGACTTTAAATTCTCATTTAACTCATATCTAATGCTAGCCTCAAAATTAGCTTAATGTGAGCTGATAACGATCAATCTAGGCCAATAATTGACATAATCTGACACAGAAAGTAGGAGTGCCATAACAGATCACTTTATCGATTTACTTAACTGTTGTATTTAAATCATGATTGTATACAACTACGTATTTAATATTGTATAAATATTTTTCTTGGAATGATTTGATGAGCATAATGGTAAACTAAAACCATTATACTAAACTGTTATAATAAAAATAATTAATGATCAATTTTTTTATTATATAGACCTTATTTTGAAAATTTGTATTTTAGTAATCTTTTTTGTTTGTTACAAGATCATATAATGTATATAATAACAAAGTACTACATTATTAAATAAATTTTTAATTGTTTATAATAGGTTTACAAATATTATTTGCAGATTAAAACCAAGTTTGACAAGTTGGTATAATCTAAACATTACAAAAAAAAAAGTTATAATAAAATTAGTTACTGTAAAATAAAAACATAAAATAATGTTTAGTATTTCTTTGTAAAAATAACTTCTTATCTGCTAAATAAGAGTTGAAATAAGTTTTTTTAGTTAAAATGTAAACATTCGTACCAGAAAGCAAGTGCTTTAATAAAATTAATATAGCAAAAATGGATATGAATTTATAGACAAGTTAACTACTATATTAAAAGATATCATATAAATTTATTCTTAGTAAAAACATAATTAGGTATTAAACATAACTTCTATGATTTGATATTTAAGACATTTTGTAAATATTTATTTAAAATTATTTTATTAGAATTATAAAATTACTTTTTATATTTTTATTATTTTTTTTTAAACTTAACAAAATTTGTTAGTAATTTTATATATTTTATATTCTTGTATATAAGTCTAATATTACTTAGTTATCTTTAAAATATCAAATACATTCTATTGTATCACTTTTATGCTATAGTTAAGACCAACACTCATAGTCAGGACTTATTTATATCATTCTTATTAGGCAATTACTTGACTACGGAATGATAAAAATCCCTGCGGTTCCAATTCGTGTACCCGTTTACAGAACAGTAAGTTTTACTAATGAGGTCGGCCTACTCATTAAGTGAAGCCGCCCAGATGAAAATTTTGGCCCAGAAATGGGAAATGGAGAAGAAAAACCACTATCTGACATTTTCAGAAAGAAGTTTTCCTAGTCCATTATATTGTCGAAATTTACAATTTTTTAAAATTATATTTTCACTTAAGTTGTTTTGTGATTTGAAATTCACTTACAGCTGTTTTCAAAAAGGTGCGAACAGGCGCAGATCACCTTATCTCGAGAAATTCACGAAATTTCCCAGATTTCCAGAATTTTCAAAGCCAATACTAATCGGACATACAATTTTTACTAATCTGAATTTCCTGATTCTTCAATTTCCCACATAGGTATATGGAAATTGTTGTTTACACCTTTTTGAAAACAGCTGTAATTGACAATTCGCGATAGAAAGAGAATAACAACTGGAAGTTTTTTTATAATAAAATATAATAAAATATATTAAT